CATGAACTTCCTCCATGATAAAATCGTTTAGAATACAATTTTAACCTCTATTTGAATAAGCTTAGAACTTTCAAAACAAGCAAATGCAAATACCATATAAATGGACTCTATTATAGCAATCGGTGCATAGCTCCCATCTAAATGTATTGCCTTGTTGTCGTTAGTGGAGTTACCCCATCACAGTCATCAACTCCTTAAGCGAGCTTTCCTCCTCAAATTCATCCACCAAGCCATGATTTTCCACCTTCTCCAAGTCTGAACTATCATCATCATTAGAAGTGATAGAGCTGTAATCTTTATCATCCAAAGTGGTAGCTTTTATTGCCTTTTTTTCAAATCTCTTCTTCTTGTCATTCTTCCACTTCTTCTTGGTAATGTGTCGATGACACTTAACATGACTCGATTTCTTAATCTCTAAGCAAATCATAGCATCCATTTTGCTTCCATCGCCCTTCTCGCTTCTTTCTTCTTTGAAGTCTTTTCTATTCCCATACTTCTTCTTTTTCTACAAGAACTCGGTAAATCGCGAGGTTATCAATGCAAAATATCTTCATCATCATGACTAATACTATCATTATTCTTTTTAATACTTAAAGAGGATTTCAAATCAGTGGTATTTTTCTTGGTAGATCATCACACACTTCAAGTTCCATGACACTCCCTTCATGACCTATGAGTGAATTGTGTATGCATCTCCCTTATGCCTTCACTTGATTTCATCTCAAGCAATCCATACTTTCTAGTGAGATATGTCAATCTAGAACCCTTAACTTGACTAGTTCCTTCATGTGTGACCTCAAGTAACCTTGAGTCATCTTGCAATTCTGTACCCTCGTAAACTCCATACTTGGCAAAGCATAAAAGAAGGCATTCATTTCCTTTGCATTACAATTATACTTCCCCTTTTTGCCAATCATTCCAATCGCTAATTGGTTTAGGGCAATGTTTCCTTCTAAACTGGTCTTTGTAGGTCTAGTGTAACTGTTCTCTGCAATGTCTTCAAGACTCAAGAAAAGTACTCATCCTAACCTTCCAATATGCATCATATATCTCAAAAAAAAAAAAGGTGCTTTAAGTGTCATGATATTAACTCTTAAGTAGTTAAACCAGAAATAAGAGCCTTTACTCTGCTACCACAACGAGCTTCTCAAAATGCTCCATTGAATCTCCTTTAAAATTGTTGATGCTAGTATGATAAATCCTCGCAGAATGAATATCTTCTTGCACACGACGTGGTCAAGGTAGAGCCCACATATCTCACTTTCTTAAATCAGATTCAAGCCTTCTGTGATTAAAAGTCATATTATTGAAACTAAATTGTTGTGACAACTTCAACCATTAGGTTTATGAAACTATGTAGGATGTATTCACAGAATGCTTGTCATTTTCCGGGAACAATATGTGGTAAAATGAGCGTTTGAAAATACCCTTTCCCTCTCCCTTTGTCCCTCGATTAGGTGATCAACTTTATCAATATCACCTAGAGATCATGACCCATAAATTGGCTTCATTGGAGTAGAATTCAAGGTGGTTTGGCTCATTGCAAGCCTTAGTGCATAATTCCAAATAGTCCACAGCAATTCATCATTAGGAAGAATGTCTTTAGAGAAGTATCTCACTGTTAGCTCAAGCCCACGCAAGGCCAGCTCAATCAAAAGGAAAGAGCGAAGAAGAAAAAGAAAATCCTCAAGCCTAATTAGATTGCAAATCTTGGATTCATCTCACTCTCAATAATTTCATAATTCATGCAAGTACAATGAAACTAGAGATCAGGCCTATATTGATTTTAAAAGTAATCCTCTATTAAAGGAGAGGGAGGGAGGGTGTCCTATTGTTCTTTCCAAAAGGAACTACAGTGGATGATCTACATAAAAAACAACAATTGAAAAACCTGAAAATCACACTGCTATAACTGAGACCCACTTTGAAAAGTTCAACTTGACATGAGATATGGCATCTCAATGACCCCCTCTTATTGTGAATTTTAAGGACTTCTAAACAAATTATATGCTGCGTAGCCTAGGCGTCTCTTGATCCCCTCGAGCTGCAATTACTGAAGCAGACAATGAACAGAATCCAACTTCACTTGAACTCTTTCTTGAACTAAACAACTGATGTGACCTTTTACAATGAGCAATTGCTTCCGTAATTGAACTCTCAAACTCTGAATTTGAACAGCCACTTCTCTTGAGCAACTGTAAGTCACAGAACCCATTTGAGCTAAATGAAAAGGATGAAGATGAAGAAGACAAACCAGATGAAGATGTGGATGAAAATGAAAAGGATGAAGACTTGGTTGCAGAATGCCATTGAATTGCCCCAGAGAAAGACCTCCTTTGGCAACGAAAACCATCTTCAGCCATCTCTTTCTCAAAGCTTCTCTTGAGAGTGTTTGATATCCTGCATCTGTCATTATCAATATTCCCAAAAGGACTCTTCTTCGGTACTTTCATGTACTTATTCAAACAGTCCTGGCCGTTTGAAATAGTTTCATCTTCTGCATTGCATGACTCGTCTGTGCAACCAGACATTTTAAACAAAGACTTTAGATATGCTCTTGAAGCCTTGAGTTTGAGACCAAGCGAGGATTGCTTTAGCTTCTTAGTCCAAGACTTCTTTTGATGATCTCCGAGGAAACAGTTAGCTTCCTTTGGCCATTCAAAGAAATATTCATCTGGGTTTAGTTCACTACTAACCCTGCAAGATTCTGATGGTGAGATATTGCAAGATTCCAATGGGGTGTTGATGTTAGTGGAAGGTGCAGTGAAGCTAGTGGTGAAGGGAATGACATAGTTTTCTTCAAAGGCTGATTCTTTTTTACAGTTTAAGGTAGTAGTGGCGGGGTTTTGGAGGAGCTTTTGAACCATTAGCAAGCGAGGAGGGAGATGAAGAGGAAGGAGTTTTCCCTTGTAGAAAAGTTCATCAGCTGGGGATGTTGTGGCTTCTCTACCATGAGAAACTGAAGACATTTGGAACTCAAACTCTCTGCTCCGTGGTGGAGAGCTATTGGAGTAACAAATAAAGTTCGAAGTGGAGCTCAATTCCATTTCAATGCAGTCATCATCTGCATGAATACACAAAGATTGGGTTGTGGCCATTTCATGTAGCACACTATCTAAGAACTCTTTGTGTCTGTGTTTTTGAGTGAAAGATGCTTATGGGGAGGTGAGCTTGGTGGGGGGAGAAAGGGAGCAGAGCATCCTTTAAAGTGCGGATGGTGCCAAGTTAGGAACTGTCAGGTTTTCTTCTTTTTTATTTTTCCTCTTTGAGTATCTTGAATGGTTCCAAATAATAAAATGCAGAAAAGATTTTGGATTTTTACTTTAGTAGCTGATTGCATTGATGCTCCTCTTTCGGCATCAAAATTTATGTGGATCGTCTGCGGTTATTCTTCCTCTTTAGGGAAAGGGTGGGGTCAAAGATGGTAGCTCTCTACTGAGAAAAATAAAGGTTACCTTGTATAAATTACAAATTGTTGGTCCTTCATACTCGAATTCTACATTAAAACCACAGTATTTCATCTTTGTAATGTTTATACTATGGTGTTGATTATGGAGCACAGACGGTGGGGCAATGTTTCTGTATCTTATCCCTTAGCTTGCCTTCCTTTTTCTTCTTTTGGCCTGATAGATGCAGAACAACAGCATGAGTTCATATTCTAAGATGGAAGTGATCCATTTATTTTGATATTTATATTTTATTTGTTTTTTATGTTTTAAAAACATTTTGAAAAAAAAAAATTATACGACGCTTGTACAATCTTATCAAATTGCAATAATGCGTGGACTGTAGCTGAGAGGATGGCCTTGCTGGAGCACCCCATGTATGTCCTTTTTAGCCATTCATGCATGAATCATTGACTGCTGTTATTGCTACAGAAGGTGAGAATCTACCGCTACAGGAGAAGATGTTGACAGTGGTCTTGTTTTTGTCTGAGAAAATGGTACTGTGCTGGCTAGATACAGCAAACAGATCAAGACCCGGGTGGAATCTTTAAAGTACGACTCTCGCATTATGCTATGCGTTTTGGTCAGGATGGTGTATCTACTTGGTAATCCTCAATGGATTATGAACACACTCCTTCACTCACAACCTTGTATTATTATTATTATTATTATTATTATGGTCTGCATATAAATTTGAGATCTCTTGTCAGAAAATATGAGACATGGATGTTCCTGAAGAAATGAAAATCCTTTGTTGAAATGGGGCAAGGTGTTAGGTTTCTTGAGCGAGCTTGCTTGTCCGACAAAAGCAACTCTCACCTTTAATTCTAAACAATAGCAGCAGACTTCCATGTCAACCCTCCTTTTTTTAAAGTTACATCCAATCTTTTCCTCAATCACTTTTTAATTAAACCTTTCAGATACTATATTTCCTCGATCACGTGATGCTTCTCTGACCACCACATTCAAAGTTGTGTTAATGTCCTGGGCACATGTTCGCTCACCTTTTCTGAACGTGGCTCTTTCACAGTGATGAGACTTAGCTGTGAGGTGCAGATGTCATGATTGGTTAGCTGGAAATCGAAGATAAAGCCCAGTGGCATGTCACTTTTGGACGCTGCCTTCCCAAGTGGATTTTAAGGTGCCGCTCAACTCCTCCTCCTTTGGGCAACAGACCCTATAATTGTACCGTTAAAATTTCAATCCACCATGATTCAGGAGTTTCCTCCTGCCAATGATTGTACCGTAAAAAAAGTGCAGTGAATCTCAAGGTCCACGTCCAGCCAACATCAACGGCCCCATTACTCGCCGGACTAGGCTGCAATGGCTGGCCATCCGCCTCTTTTTGAGGACCCTTGCGTCTCCCCGTATATCAGCAGGAACAGGAAGTTGCAACTTCCAATGACCCAATTTTCCAAAACATCTCTTTCAATCAAGAACTGATGTTTTTTTTTAAGAAAAAAAAAAACATAATCATGAATTTTAAAATCTGTAAAATTAATTAAAATATATATAAACTAATTCCAACATCGATATTAATAATTAAAAACAAAAAAAAAACTGATGTTTTTCTTTAACAGGGTCGCTAAATAATACATAGCCTAGGCAGATAGCCTCCACTGTAAAAGCAAGGAAAGAATCGTATGGAGATTTCAGTGTCATGATTAAATTTGTTTAGGGGTATCTACTATCTACATTTCGGCATCAAAGGGAGGATTTGCAGTCTTCCAGTACAGAGTGTCATTAGACATTCAGAAGTCACATAGCACTCACTTCCTATTAAAAAGGAAGAACAAGATTTCATTATAAAATTATGATACTGAAGAAATCCACTTGACAGTAACCTCGGTCTATTCCTTGCTGGTCAGCTGCTTGGGATTTACCTCCTTTTCAAGCTCATCGAATTCCCACTCACCGATATCCTCTGTTGCGTATCCTTCCTCGTCCTTCCCGAGTTCGGATCCTAACTTTTCCAGGTCTGCCTGTGTGACTACACTTCCTCTGTTAACAGGGGGAGATCCGCTTTCCTTTTCTTCTTTCTTTCCTGGAGCCTCAAATGTCTGTTTCGAAGAAGAGGAAGGATCTAGACGGGGGCTATCACTGGACTGTGAGTGTGATTGTTGCGTCGCATTCTCAACTTCCAGGACTGGTCTCTGGATGGATTCAATTCCCTCTTTCATTTTTTCCACAGCACTAAATAGCTCTTTGACCCTCTCGTCGTTTTTCCTGAAGTGTACGTACCATTTCCCATTTTAAGTGGTTGATCAATGCATCGAATGATGGAGCATGTGTAAAAAGAATGGTTACTGCACCTGTATACGCCATCATAGTTGGTATAAAACTGCTTTTTCATCACATGCACCGCATTTGTGATGGTCACAATCTGGCAGGACAAAGAATGGCATGGCTTTAATTAGATGAAACTTCAGTAGATCGGGAACAACGCAGGGAAGGAGACCAATCTAACAAGAAGAAATGCTAGAATGGAGAGACGATTTTGAGGACAATAAATGTGGGAAAACAGTATTTATATGAACTAGAAAATAGGGAAATAAAACTGAGCATTTGATATTGAAACATAGGAGTTTGTCAGATATTATCAAGGCAAACCCAATAAAACATCCATACCTTTGCTTCAAGCTCCAGAAATCCCTTTTCAAGATTTTTTCTATGGTTTATTGCTTTTGACCCTTCATCCTTTATGATAGGTGCTATTTCTGACCTGTTGCAGAAAAACAGTTTAAGACTTCTCTGAACCAAGTGATAAAAATTCCAAAGAATCATCATATCATAATACCCTTGACAAGAATGCAAGTCTGCTACAAGCCCTTTCATACGGATGACTAAAGGCCCCAACTGTTCCTGATGAGAGGTTCAATTTTTGCATGTCAACAACAATGTTTAAGACCAATTTCACAGCTAAATAGATTTAATGGAAATTATTAAACTATAGTTGAAGAAGTCATACAGGAGCAATGAATATATTAACAATACCTTGTAAGCAGAGAGGAGATGAACACTCAAATTCACAAAATGATCACCGTATCTCTCCAAATCACCACTTGAACATGCATGTGCAGAAAATAATCAACAAGAAACAAATGACAAAAAGATTTGACACAATAGTATGGGAACTTTAGTCATACGGGAAAAAATTAGGAAAAACTAATCAGATCTTTTTATTTTGAAATGTGTCTATCCTACAAAAGCATACATATCAATCTCAATAGCAAATCAGTAGAGAATTTATACATACTTGACCTGATTCTCCCTCTGCTCTGTGTCTGTAGTCTGTAGAACCCAGGTAGCATATAGAAAATTAATCCAAGAATTAACAACATCTGCCTCTGCCCGGCAGGATGTAACCGACTTTGCTAGCTCATCTTCCTAAGATTACAAAACATGCTCAATATGATATAATAAGAAGATTCCTCATAGGCTCTGTAATTTTCTTCTGGGAAATTCAAGTAGTTTAAAAGTTCTATTATGTACAAAATATGGTTCTTCTGACAAGGGAAGATCAGCAATACCTTGGCTTTCAGGTGCATCAGAATCTGATTGCTGGCTTCATCAAAGTTCTCTCTCTCTTCCCTGGCATTGTGAATACGTGCCCGTGCTGAATTCAATGAGGTATTGACCTACAATAAATGCCAGAAATGGTTAGAATCCCAGAAAAAATGGGATAGAGATCCTACGGAGTTGACATCACAGAGTGAACCAATTCTCTCATTGACATTACCAATTCAACTTCACAGTTTAAACACACATAAGCAAGAATACAAGTTACATATCCATGCTGAAGAAAGCACATCAGATAATCATGAATGTGAAAGGTAAACTGCAACAAAGGGAATAAATGAAGACTCCACTGAATAATTCCAGGAATGATGATATCATCCAGAACTGCATGACATTTTTATTAATAGACTGGCAAAAATATTCAGATGAAGGATACCTTCTTTAATTCAGCTTCAAGTTCATCCTTTTGCTTTTCCATTTCTCTAATCTCCACTGATAATTCCTAGAAAAATGCAATGTGACATGTTTAATAATATTCCTAGCAACAAAATAAATCAAACAATGACAAACTTTGTCCCAAGACATAGGTCATGCAAAACTTCATGAGAGATCATAAAATTCCTCAACAATATGAAAAGAAATAGAAAAAAGAGAATCAGAATATAGTATATCCGAACTTTTCTTAGATATGGAATAATTGGATATCTTGTTTTACTATATTTTCTTGCCAAGAATAGAACTCTTAAAACTGAAAGCATGATTCTTGGAATGGAGATGCACAACTGTGAGTGCTATACAATCATAAAGTCCTTCTGAAATTGAACATTTAAAAATTGAAATTAGGCTGCTTAAGCTCATGGTAGTAAGTATTGGACAGTGAAGGAGCACATGCCCAAAAAATCAGTCTAGCTCTGTTGAAAATAATAAGATCCATATCAAAATAAATGAAGGGTTCCATAGAAAAGTGGAGGAATTGAAGGAGGCATCCATGGAGGTAAATAGAGGAATCGTTACATCTAAGACAGAATAATTGGATTGAGGGGACAAGGGAAACCATAAACAGTGAGAGCCAAAGAAGCAAAAGAACGGATCTAGAATCACTCCTGCATTGTCCTGAACAAAACGGAGGCAAGGATTCATGTTTCAAATTTCAGTGCCATGATGCGTAATAGTAATCTATTTTTTTTTCCTTCTTCTCTTGGATGACAGCTACTTAAGTTGAAAAGTAAAGATTTTCAATCAATTTTCTTCATGTTAATAAAAAGTGACATTATTTCCTTGGAGGAAAGGTACCTTCTCAAGCTGACTAATCTCATCACCTTTAGCCACACGAAAGTTGAGTGCGTCTTCTTTCTGTGTCCTGCATAAAAATTGAGAAGTAAATAAAAAATGAAAAAATGAAAGATTGGCATTAATAAAAAGTAATAAACAATACCTATAGGAAATTCCAGGAAGGTTAGAACCAAAGCATCAGAGAAAAGCCAATTATTATATATTTTCAAACTATCCATGTTCCTTTCAATTGTCAATAAGCTTATTAGTAATGCACTGACCAATACCCCGAAAAATAAATCATTCTAGATGTTCCATCACTAACCATTAAAAAGAAAACTATAGGAAAATAAACATGATGAAAATGCAATACAGGACAGCACTCTAATTATACATTGCATATTGACTTAACAGCATGTTAAAATCCATGAAGAGTTCATTTTCTCAGCAATAAGCAAACTTCCACTCACAGTCACAGTTGTGGGGAATACTTTCTATAAATTTAGAACCCAAGGCACCCAACTTTGCAGAGTGACATTTCTTGTCCATCCTCTCCCTCCCCACAAAAGAAGCATTGAAAGTGGATGCAAATACACAAAATGCAGAAACGTAGATTATATCCCATTTGCTGACACATGCACAAGCACATGCATGAACATACTAAAAAAAATTCTGAGATGCTAAATGAACCTTTGTTCTAAAATGCGCTTTTCAGCTTTTGAGGTCGAGTTAAGAAGAGATTCTGATAAAATTTTCAATTTATCAACCTGCAAAATAAGTGTATAATGGATTATTAAGAATACAGTAGCAGGAGTTGATAGGCTAGAAATAAACTGAAACACAACCCAGAAAATAAAAATAGAATAGAATTGAATTGTGCCAATTTGTATTATCTCTTCAATTCATAACTAAAAATACATGAGACTGCTAATATGATTTAAAATTCTTTCAAAACAAAGCATTTTACAATCTCTTTGAGAAACATTAGGCATTGAGGATGAAATAAAAATGTTTAAACTCATCCTTTAATATCATTACAATTACCAGTAGAAATTGTGTTTGGTCTCAAGGATTTTTGGAAAATTGTGGTATTTTTCACTTGTTGATTTGTGTTGAAAAAACTGCTTCAAGAAACAATATGAAATCCAGTGTAAGTTCCATGACCAGAGGAAGTGCCACGAGGGATTAGGTAACATTTCTGATTCACTATCTTCTGTTTCTAGTAAATTTTTCTATAGCTAAGATTATTCATATGCATAATAGGCCATTTGAGATATTAGATTGGTCACTATCAACAGTAACAGAATATTAACACTAGGTAAGAAATAAAAATCTCAGTTAGGATTTGCATGACATTCCTGCCTCATCTATGCCAAACATGCTTGACGTCTAATAGGCTTGCCTCTGGGTGTTTAGACAGACAGGTTTGTAAAGCCATGATTTCAGCTTCAAACTTCACAGGTTGCAGAAAGGTAGCAGTAAGTTCTAACACTGCAGCAGCTATTAAGGAACAGAAGACCATGCAGAAACATCTTAAATGAAGGAAACATGCAGAATTATCACCTGGTAAGTGGTTACCAAGGAACATTACTTAGACTAGAAAATAGTGTCCTCAAGCATTTCTTGTGTCCTTCAGATGCGTAGGTGTAAGTACTTTCAACTCCTATTTTTTTTTTTAATTCTAGGGGTAAGAGAAGGGTCAAACACTCAACAACCAATGTGAACTCTTTGCTCTCTATCAATTGCTGTACTTTCAACTTCTCTAATGAAAGATATCTTGGGGATAAGCACATAAAATTATTGCTAGCAAGCATTAGAAGTAAATGAGATCCGTTTGCAGAATATGCCTCCACAAAAGCACTTAAAGAACAGCCTGGTTCAGTCTCTGGTGCATACCAGGAACCATTAGAAGTAATGCTAAAGCTTAACAGTTTGTTCCTAGAAAAACCTCTCTGAAAACTAAATGCTATTCTGAAAGGAAATAAAAGGCCAGTTAGATTTATCACTAAGAACCCATACCTTCTCCACATGCATTTCTGGAGAATCCCCATTTCTCAAAGATTTCTTCTTTAGTAATAGTGCCTCCAATGTGGAACATAGTTGAATTTGTCCAAGTTTTTCTTCTACAGCCTGAGCAAAAATTGAACGTCAGTTTCTGCGATCAAGGATGTAAATTCTAAAATCAAATTCAGAAACTTTCTGAAGATGTAATAAGCATAAGAATTAAAAACCAATAATGAGACCTACTGATGCAATGATTGATCAAAAAGTTATAAACAGGTGAGAGGGGGGGGGTGAACATCTTAACATGAACAGGGATACCCACTCTTTTAGAATCTTGCACGTTTGTGAAGATCTAAACTTGAAAAGATTTTGGAAAAAAATCAATGGAAGTCAGTCCTGAAGTTACAGTTACATTTTTTAGTGTAAACCCAGAACATTAAAATTACAAAAATCTTTAAGCTTTCTTCACACAACTACTTGTATCAGACTAGTGTACAACAAATGACATGCGGAATCTGTTGGCACATGGAAAATTGTGAATGTAGGATCAGCCTACCTCCATTGTCAAAGCAGTTGTTTCTTCAGAAGAGTTTCCGCTAGCTTCATTGGAAAGCTGATTGAGTGCCTTTGATTTCTCAAGTTTCTCCATTATGTTGTGGGCTTCAGCATCTATTCTGAGTGCAGAGAACATAATATAAAACATTAATAAAAAAATTATTTCTAAATGAAATCAATGCAAGGACAATGCAATTATGATTTGTAAATGAAGCTTAACTTCCAACAGATTAAACATGCAGAAAAACGACCAGGGACCCATACTCTATGCCCATATATTTGTATAGATATTGTATATAGAAGATAACTTTAAATGAATACTGATGAAAATGAAAGACTAAGCACACGGATAAATGAACAGATTTCAAGCTCCACGATGCAAATGATTTGTGAGTTTTAATAAGGATAATAATAATAATAATAATAAACAGAGGAAATTTTAATCCACAATGCAAATGACTCATTCAAAACTTCTCTTACAATAAATTTGAAAAAAAAAAACTAATTAAATCAACAAAATAAAACTTAAAAAGCACAGTAAACTTATGCTAGGTGCTAACAATACCAACAAAAAAAGAAGAGCACCGCCGATCTTTCTTTGTGCTTTGCCAACTCCAAGTACATTAGTAAACTTATAAGAAATTAAATATGGATGGATGCATAAATCTGAAGGGTAAGAAAAGTGGGGAAGAGGAGAGTTGGGATCTTTCCAAAGTTTAGATAGCACGTTTGGATCATAACTGTCTGAAAGATGAGACATTATTCATAATCACTTTCTGCTTAACATGTGAATAAAGGTGTGTGTGGAAGGGCGCATGCAGTATAGAGGAGGCTAAGGGTATGACACCCAACCCAATTCACAATATCAGCTTCTGCAATTGACAATGAACGAATCTAGAAAGTTTTTATTTTTGAAGACTCACATTCAAATCTAAGATACAACATCCTGAATTACCTTGCAATATCAGCATTTATTTTCAGACCTGAAATTGCACTTTGAGCGTATTGGAGCAACTCCTCTCGCTTTACCTGGACAGAGAGAAAAGTGGGAGGGAGTTATGTTGATCATAAAACTTCACTTGGAAATCTGCAACCTATTAATTGAACTTCTTTATAGAACAAAAGGTATCCCTAACTTTATCCAAGCATATATTATGTAGAAAAGCCAAAGGTTATGCTGGATCATCTTATACTAACAAATAAATAACCATGAGGGTGTCTGCAGAATTAAACAGGAGATAATTGTACCCTTATCATAATCACTTTAGAAAAGAAATCCATGGAATAAGCTGCTATTTCCTGATGAGTAAAACCCGAGAATTAAAGTAAAAGGAACAGCCTTGCTACAAAAGGATGATAAGTTGTAAAGAATACATAGACCAAAAAAAAAAAGGTAGAATAACTAGTTAAAGATCTCTAAAACTTTCAAAATTATGAGAAGAAAGTTAAAATAAATCATCAATAAAGCCACTAGGCGGTCAAGATACCTCATAACCAAGATTAAGCCTATGCAAGGAAGTTCACTTTCTTAGAAAGTTTAGCTGTCTGTCACTCTGTATCCTCTGTCTGAAAATAATGCAGGAGAGACAGAGGAACTGAGTTTCAAACTAAACATCCTCCCTTACCAAGGTAACGCCTAAAATACTGATCTCCCTTGAATGAATTCAAATTTAGATGATTAAAAAGTGAACCAAAGGAACTTCATATTGATGGATACAATTTAAACCCATCATTATAATCAATGGAGCAGATACTTGCATGGAAAAAGATAGAAGAAGCAAACAATACATCTGTTAACTTGTAACAATGGTATGTAAAACATAAGTGCTCTATTTATTAATTATCAGTAAATTTTCCATATTTTCATGATTGTGGCGCAGAACTTGATAAAAAATTCCTTCATGAACCCAATTCAATCCAGTAGATAATGATAAAATGAGTATGCAACTCTTAACATAAAACAAACGAACATTTACAGGAGTATAATAAAGTCTTGTGTGTATATGGACATATACCAGTACTTCATCCTCATAGGTGGTGAATGCTGTTGCCAAATCTTGTATGCTGTTCATCACTGCCTCGTGTACTTCCTTCCCTCCTGCAAGACACAGCCTGTATATAAACCAAACCAAAAGGATGTTTACATGAAGTTCTATGCATAACACTGAAAGTGAAAGGGCATTTAAAGTGCATTTTCTCTTCATTGTGACAACTTGACTGACTCAACAAGCCATAGCCCTAAGTTAGCTGCATTCAGCTTTTCTCCACATTAACAAAATGAAATTTCAAGCAACTACTTAAACAAGACATAAATAGAAAATTACGAGAGTGGGAGGAATCACCCAAAAATCTCCAAAAGCAGTGAAACTTCTTCCTCGTTCGGCGCTTCAAGAATCTGAGTCATACAAAACAGTTAACCTGCGGTTAAACTCAATGGATCAGCAAATACAAAGCCCGGCTACATAAATGTAAACCAAAATGACACTAAGATTTACAGCAAAAGATTGACAAGTTACAAAGGCATTAAATTTGTCCTCTTACATGGCAAATTAATAGCACAATATACCCTGATCACCTTTTGTGCCAACCAACAACTATATGTCATGTTTATACAGCAGAAAACAACAATAGGATTACGAACGAACAAACCGAGTTCTTACCATGGACAATGTAATCCCTTCAAGAGCTTGACTATAAAGAAAAACCTCTCGAAAATCCATCGTCCCAAGATCAGGATCCACATAATAAACCTGTGCAAAGTTATGTAACAATCTTGAAAATAAGAAACCAATCACAACTTCAATAGAAAAAATAAATGCTAAATATTTTGGGAAAAAAGTAAAAATAAAAATAAAAATAAAAATAACCATCAAACTTCTATCTCACCAAAATAGATAATGCAAATCCATACTAATTACGACACAAGTTTTATACATTCACAGCATGTCAATGTACAGACAAGATTTCTCCATGCAACAATTAAATTTTAAATTTCAAAAGAAATGAGATGAATGCTAACTATATAGGAAGATGCTCACAATGGTAGGTTTTTTAGGAGAATCCTTGAAGGAGTCATCAGCATGATGTTCATGAGTAGGAGATGAAGAAAACATTCTTTCTCTATCAGTTTCTTTAAGAGCAACAAGCCATCTTCTCAATAACTGCACTCTCTCTTCACCTCTACATGACACGGATACATCCTCTAATCTTTTAGCTGTTAGCCTCAAACTCTGCAAACTCCTTGATGACGCTCCCTACACCATCCAAAATCAAATATCAATTAATACACATCCAATTAAAAATAATTAAACAAACATGAATAATTTAATATTACAATGCGGTCTTGGATTATTTTGGCTCCTTCAGAAACGGCATTACCGGCGTGAAGGACGACGGAGTCTGCATAACTACGGACGGTGCGTGTAATGTTAGTCTTTCCTCCGACTTCTACCGCTCTGTTAACGGCGGTTCTTATCCACGACATTACTATTTACAACGTGATGGTGTTTTTGCTGCGTTCGGATTGGTGAGGATGATAGTGTTATTACAACCGGATTTGCAATTTGGGGTTAGCAGCAAGGAAAATGAAGGAGAAGGGAAGGAGTCAAGGATTTTTGCGCGTCTTTGGTTCGAGTCTTTTGCCTCTCCTTTCGGTTTGCTTGGTTGTAATTTACTATATTGTCCTTCCCCACAGACTTTGACTTTCATTTTCTATTTCTGTTGATGAAAAACTATTTATTTATTTATTTTTATATTCCTGAAGAATGCACGTAGCTGCGCAAAGTTATGGCTCCGCCTATCGGTGGCTGCTTGGCCGCACCTCCCTCGTCTCTCATGTGCTGTTACGGAGTACGAACACACGTAATAATCTTTAATTAATAAATGATTAAGACTACGGTTTTGAACCTATATTTATCATAGTAGACTTCTTTTTATTGTGATAAAAAAAACGAAATCTTCTCATTGATATGATAAAGAAATCACTCCTCATGAAGAATATATAATGTGTTATGAGATATGTTTAGAAGCATCTAGATTTGTTTTAGTATTTTTTACTTTAAAATATATAAAAATAATATATCTAGATTTGTTTTAGTATTTCTCATTTAAAAATATGTAAGAATAATAATTTTTTATTTTTAAAAATTATTTTCAATATCAACATATTAAAAAAATCGAACAATTAAAAAAGTTAATAAAATATATTTAAAATGTAATTCCAAGTAACGTCCAATATAAAAAAATTAAAGAAGTATATTTAAAATGTAATTCCAAGTAACGTCTAAACATGCTAAATTGAATACGGTTTATTTGAAAATAAATTGGTAGCTTTTCTTCTTCTTCTTTTCCATGAACAAGCAATTTACTATTACAATGACTTTAATAAAAGCACACCCTCTATATATATTCTTGGTCAGTAACTTGTAAACTTGGATACCAATTCTCTTTATGGAATACGATTTGACTTGTTCGTGCTAGTTATCCCCTCAAGAATCTCATTTGTTCCAACTTTTCAACCATTAGAAACATTTTTCGACTTGTTTTCAATTAAAATAATTAAAATATTTTGCACGTAAATAAGAGGAAATTAGCTCGATTTATTTATACATTATAATCATAGTCTCAATTCTCAAATATGTCCCTATAAGTCTAATTGCTCTTTAATTATCTTTGAATATGGCCACTTTCCAATCTATTTTTTCTATTAAATAACTCCTTCAGAACTGAAATCCAACCTAATTTATTAAAATATGTAGCATGAAAAGAGAGAATTTTAGCACCTGGTACCTTTTCTTTTTAAATAAATTGGAGTTGTGTTCCTCGTATATAATTTTATGTAAGAAAATTGTAAAAAGAAGAGAATAAGGGAGCAACAGGGAGATCCTTCTGCAATAGATGGAATTGATATCCGCGGTCGGATGGAAAAAATTAACATGCAGCTTAACTTACTTAGTTCTGTAGTGTTTAAAATATATAAAAATAATATTTTTATTTTTTAAAATTTATTTTTTTATACTAGCATAACAAAACAATTTAAAAATATCAAAAACAAGTAAATTAAGAAAAAAAAACTTTCAAAACAATCCAACCAGCCGTGATAATTCAATTTAGCGAAACCCAATCCCTTCTCCTGTCCCCAAGGACATATCATGAGCCTTCCTATACATGGAATGTGCAAAGAGCAGACCACAAATAATGCAAGAGCCATTTCCGATTGCAACTCAAAAACGCGACCATGGAGGAACACTATCATCAAAATTACAGAAGCCTTTTTTTATTAATAAGGGGCTTTTTTCGAGCACCTCTTAACTTCCAATACAAGATGAATTGCTTACGAATCATACACCAGTGCTGCGAAATGCAAAAGGTTAACACAGCATCACTTCTGGCTAAGAAATTGGAACAAATGGAAGAATCTTGATCGTATCTGTACTTTTGTGGACATTTCAATCCACTTTTCATCCTCTGTTAGTACCGAAGGGAACCATCTCTCTATAAGGCATAGACTAGAACTCAATCTCGGGCAATGGCACCTTCCAAAAATTCCATGAGTTATAATCTTCCTGCAGATACATGAGTCGAGGTCATTCAAGATTTTTGTGGAGTAAAACAGTACCTTGGGCATTTAAACAAACACTCACCCTGTATCCTCCTGTCTTGACACTATTTTATTTCTTTTATTTTCACCCTTTTCAAACAGCACAATGTGTTCTTAAAGTTCACTTGAGTATGCTTACCTGCTCAGCTGACGATGTAGGGGGGAACATATCATTGACCAGCGTGTGTAATGATGTGTAGGACTTCACGTCAATGCGATGACTAATGGCCACCTCACCCTGTCAGTTTATGGGAACTTATTAGCAATCAAAAAAAAAAGGAAGTAAATCCCAGATGGACGACCACCAAAAAGGAATTTCAGTAATAAAAATCCAAACCTTTGGGTTTATAATAAATATTTTCCCCTTCGGAATCCCAATTTTCCTGTAACTAAGCTCATCGGTATCTCTATTTCCAAAGCCAGCATAGAACGGGTTGTAATCAGAAGGAAAGAGTCTTTTAATGTCCTACAGAACATGAAATTCAGGGCATACCGTAAGTTTGGGATGAAATGCAAATGCTTGCTAAAAGTGATTCTATGTCCATGGTGGTTTTTCCCTTTAGGATTACCTCTAAGCACGCGATCTTGAACTCATGAGGAGCTCTTCTTATGACTGATAACCATGCAATACAAGAACAAATTTCAGAGAGGAGTCAGAGCATCATTTAAATGGGAAAAATGATGTGGACTATCAAGTACATAGGAGATGCAGACTAAGTCAAGCTGGCAGCCTGGATACAAATTAAAATCACAAAGAAATAAGAATTTTCCACCAGAGGGTCAATGATGCAATTGTGAATGGACCAACTGCTGCATGCTCTCAAATGCTGGAGGCTCACCGGGGCAAGGTTCATAAGATGCATATTCTCGAAGGAACTTAACTAAAATGTACAGTATAGAAACAGCTGAAAGTGCAGATACTTTATTAGTCGCAAAAATGGAAAAATTCATTTTATTTTTACTTTTCTTTTCTCTTAGCTATTCTTCTCTTTCACTTTGGAAAAACAAGATATGCAATGTTGTCCTTGGTGTCCCTTTGCAGTGGATTCGTGCACTTTAAAACCCATTTAAGTACACCACACAACATATACAAATTTCAACATTTAGCCTTAGTAAATTCCATGATTTCCTCTTTATGAAGCTGGAATCATCAGTGCCTGTATCAAGAAATTAATTTGAAGACCAAGCAATTCCATAGAATGGATAATTTTTAAAAAGACCTTACCTTCCCGGTACAATGAGGGAAACAATCCATCAGGTGAAATAACAACAGGTCCATTTGGTAGGGTTTTTCCATCCTGCAAGCAGAATAAAAATTCACTAATCAGTAGAATGCAGTGCAATAGAGCAGCATCATAACTATAACCTCTGCAAAACCCAGTCTAAAGCAACAGAAGAGACAGACTGCACAACAGGGTAAAGACAGTGACCAGGAGACAATGATGTGATATCATCCATGAAACAATAAGTAAACAAGGAAACAATAAACCCAAATAACATTTATACCTGCTTTAGGTTGAAAAGGAAACTTCTGGTTAGATACGCCTGAACAATTGCACGTGCACTCAGAAACAATAGCTGATATCCATTCTCCTGCAGGAAATGCGGAATTCAATATTTGATGTCCATTTACTAGAAAAAACCTATGTGTTCATAAACATGCCAGCTGCAATTCAATGAAATAAAACATGGAACAAGTCCAACCACCATTCCTACCGATAGCATTTGTTCTGAAAAAAAAAATGCAAGGTAAGAGAAGAATCAACAGATTAAATTACTAAAGCTTAATTGGCAAGTATGTGTTGTCTGCATGAATTACTTTTCACTGTTCACTATTACTGATTGAAGTAGCAAGCCATATGCATGAAATATGTCCCTTTAAAAATTGATATTTAGAATTTCTGCCTACAAAATAAACAAACAACAAAGAAATTCAATCTAACATAAGGAGGATCGACTAAAGGAAGAGGGTTACAAAGGGGCAAGCAGATGTTATACCTCCTTTTTGCTCTTAAAAAGGTTTGGCCCAAATAATTCATCCATGTAGCAGACCCATAGTAGTTTGAGTTGATGCTCAGTTTTGTTCTTGACATTAGATGATGACACGGAGCATGAATGTTCTTATACCACAATTAGAAATTCATTTAGCCAAAATACTTTAATCCATACAGAAAAAAAGGAAAGGCAGTCTTCTTCACTTTCAGAGGCTTACAGCTAAAATAGTTACACATTGGCAGAGCATTGAAGAATCATTTTGCAAATAAATTGAGCAACCACTGGTTAGCAAGATCGAAAGGAAAATAATACCTTAATGGCACAAAAAAGTTTAGCAACTCCAGATTGTGTCCAATCCTTTCCAACCAGGGGCATGAATTGACCCAAAACATCAGACCTGGCAAGAATTGCCAAATTAATACCCCAAAATCAAATCTATGATTAACTGAAAAAGATAGAGGAAAATATTTTACAGTTGATCAGTTTGTACTGTAAAACCATTGCTAAGAATGCTTGTGGATGCCTTATTATAAAATTACTAATGGAGGGTGCGTTTTTTATTCCCATGAGAAATAAAATTTTCTGTTTGTCACCTTAACTGTGCCATGTTAGCTTGAGACAGTAAGACTAGACTTCATTCAGAAAGTGATAAAAGGGTTCGTAATGTAATTTCATTAAGATCTAGCACAGAGAGAAACAAATTCAAAATTGGCAAAGACCATGTCCAAACTCATTGCATTAAGTCTCCACAATTCAGTCAATTTTAATGATACATTCAAAAACATGATGCTACAAGAATTGCTCAGCTGATGGTTACAGGCTGACACATGACTGGTGAACTTAAGATTAGGATAAAGTACACAAGACAATATATGATAAAAGTTGTTGGTAGTCCAAGGGTATCCAATGCTCATAGTTTTGATGAATTAAACTAATAATTGGTTATTGATCATTCCCTTGAGGTTGTGTTGCTATAGGTACATTATTATTTATAACTTCTCAAGAATGATGATTGATACGTCTTGAAGTTGTGCATAACATATAACTACATTGATGAAATATCATGC